ATTTGCTGAGCAAATTTAAATATAGTTGTAAATTACTTAAATGTATTTCTTAGATTAAATGTATATTAACAACAAAGTGAATCTAATTCTTAGATAAAGTTGAATCAGAAATGACTCAAAGGAATCAAAAGGGAAAACGTTAAGTTTATTTAGAGAGGAAGGAGACCCCTAATAAGCAAAACATTTCTGAAAAACAAAAATTAAGTGGGAGACATAGCACTTCTGACCCAAAACATACCACAGAAACAATATGGCAGATGGCAAGGAGCCAGAGAAGAAAAGGAGAAGAATAGAAGAGCTGCTGACTGAGAAATGGCTGTTGATGGTGGGTGTGGGGACACTGGAGACTGGGAAGGTCGCTAGAATCATGGAAAGATATTCCTCAAGCATTCTGGACCCTTCACACACCCTGATTTTGAACCCAGCACTGAATCTTTCCAGTTTTTGTTAGCAACATGTAAAGTTCTAGTCATTGGAGCTGGTGGCTTAGGATGTGAGCTCCTGAAAAACCTGACATTGTCTAGTTTTAGACAGATTTGTGTTATAGACATGGACACTATAGATGTTTCCAATCTAAATAGACAATTTTTTATTAAGCCAAAGATGTTGGAAGACCGAAGGCTCAAGTTTCAGCAGAATTTCTAAATGACAGAATCCCTAACTGCAATGTAGTTCCACATTTCTACAAGATTCAAGATTTTTATGACAGTTTTTGTCCACAATTTCATGCTACTGTTTGTGGACTGGACTCTCATTGCCAGAAGATGGATAAATGGCATGCTGGTATCTCTTCTAAATTATGAAGATGGCATGTTAGATCCAAGCTCCGTAATCCCTTTGATAGTTGAGGGTACTGAAGGCTTTACAGGAAATGCCAGAGTGATTCTGCCTGGAATAATGGCTTGTATTGGGTGTACCCTGGAGCTTTATCCACCACAGGATAATTTTCCCATGTGCACCATTGAGTCTACGCCCAGGCTCCCAGAGCACTGTGTTGAGTAGTGCTGCAGTGGCCCAAGGAGCAGCCTTTTGGAGAAGGGGGTTCCTTTAGATGGAGATAATCCTGATCATATTCAGTGGATTTTAAAAAAAAATCCCTCGAGAGAGCATCACAATATAATATTAGGGGCATTACATACAGACTCACTTAAGGGGTTATAAAATGAATCATTCCTGCAGTAGCTTCCACAAATGCAGTTACTGCAGCTGTGTCTGACAATGGGGTTTTTAAAATAGCAACAAGTGCATGTTGTTGTTAAGTGCCGTCGAGTCACAGGCAACTCATAGCAACCCTATGAAGGAGAGTCCTCAACACTTGGGTGACTTTTACCCTCTCTCCAGGTTCATAGGGTTTCTGGAGGCAAGCTATTATGGAAGTGGATGCCACTCCTCCTTCCAAGCTTGTTTTAATTGGGGAGCTCCACCCCACTCTCTGTCCGTATTGGGTAACCAACCATTAACGCATTTTACACATCAGTGTCATAGTGGTCAGCCTCACAGCAACCACAAGTTACTGCTGTACAGCAACTCATACACCAGGGCTATATGACCTAGAGGAATGTCTGAACAAGTGCATACATTCCCCTTAATAATTGCATGGTATTCAATGATGTCAATGGACTGAACACATACACATTTGAAGCAGAGAGAAAGCAAAATTGCCTGGCTTACAGCCAGCTTCCTCAAAATGTTCAGTTTTACTGACATCCAAGCAGTTATATGCACACTCAAGTTTATTGCGGCTTTGTTCACAATAGCAAGGAGCTGGAAACAACCTAAGTGCCCATCAACGAATGAATGGATAGAGAAGTTGTGGTATATTTACACAATGGAATACTATGCTGCATTGAAAAATAAGGAACTCATGCAATGTTATTCAAAATGGGTGACCCTGGAGAACATTATGCTGAGTGAAATATCTCAGTCACAAAAGGACAAATACTGCATGGTGCCACTGTTGTAAAACAGGACTGACCTCGGGGTTGGGGAGAGACTGATAAAGATGGGTTCAATAATGTATAATGCATTGAAAAAGATGAGGGAGAAAACTGTTTAAAAGGGATATGTGATTAGGTATTTTTGTCATGACAGGAGTCCAGAGCGAAGGCTGCATAGTAGAGTGGACCTGGGTGAGGGTTTGTAAAATAATGAAAGAATTTTTCTTTTACTTTTACAAGAGGGGAGTGTACTAGGGGGGAGGGTTGTGAGGGGAGAAAAGTGCAACAATGAATGAATGGAAATTCAAAATCTCTGTAAATTTCTACTGAATAATAATTTTTTTTAAAAAAGAAAAAAATGGGGAGGGGTGGGCAGGGAGAAAATTGCGGCAATGAACGAATGGAAATCCAAAACCTCTGTAAAAAAAAAATATATAAAAAATTTTTTAAAAAGTTCACTTTTCTCCATTGGCAAAACTTCAGGAGGTTTTGGTGCTTCTCTGTAGATGAAGTCACCAGCCATCACAGCCACATTAGAGGAGGAAAATAGGACACTTTATTTACAGTCAGTAACCTCAATCGAAGAGTGAGCAAGGCCAAGTCTCTCCAAAACATTGAAAGAATTGGGACTCATTGACGGGCAAGAACTGGCAGTTGCTGATGTCACAATACCACAGACTGTTCTATTTCACTTAAGGAGAATAAATCTGCACAAAATAGCAAACCCAAGGAAATACTACACTTTGTGGATGATAAGAAATTGAATGTAAATTTTAGCTTTAGTGTTGCTGGAATTTGAACCTTTTTTTTTAAATAAAACAAACAACTCTTTTTTAAACTTTATAACTTTACCTTGAGGGCAGAATTTTGGAGCTGATGCCTGTAAGCATTTTCACTAAAAATACAAGATACGATGCTGGGAGAGATGATGTGCAAAGATACAGCTTCCCTTAAAGGAGAGCAAAAATAAAAAAATTTTTTTAAAAAACCAACCCTACTATCTACACCATTTTGACTCCCTCTACATGTGGTCAGATCACTGGCATCCCTCTCAGGCCATGTAGTAAAGGCCTGTTCATTTCTTGGGACCAGTTTCCTTCTTTTAAAAAAAACAACCAAATGAACCAAAAACTCTACTACACAGCGGTAGTAATCAAAATAGCATGGTACTGGTACAATAACAGGCACATATACTAATGGAACAGAATCAATAACCCAGAAACGGACCTCTCTATCTATAATCAACTGATATTTGACAAGAAAATAAAACCAATCAAAAGAGGAAACAACAACCTCTTCAACAAATGGTACTGGCAAAACTGGACTGCTACCTGCAGAAAGATGAAACAGGATTCACATCCCACACCATATACAAAAATCAAGGTAGATCAGAGACCTGGATGTAAAGCCCAAAATTATAAAGTTCATAAGAGATAAAATCTCTGTGCTCATCAAAAACTTTTCCCAACAGGGTAAATGAAATCTATTGGATGGTAAAAAACATTTGGCAATACCCTCTCAGACAAGGGTCTCAAGACCAAACTTTACAGAATCCTACAGGACCTACAGAAGAAAAAGACTGAAAACCTAGTTATAAAATGGGCAAGAGACATGGAAAGATTTTTCACAGAGGAAGAGATCAGGATGGCCAACAAAAACATGAAGAAATGCTCAAATTCACTGGCAATAAGAAAGATGCAAAAAACCACTATGAAATAACAATAGTTTGCCCTGTAGCAGTGGCAAAATTTAACAGGATAGCAAATAATGAATGTTGGAGAGGATGTAGAGAGATAGGAACTCTTTTATACATTGTTGGTAGGATGGTAAAATGGTAAAACCACTCTGGAGGGCAGGTTTGGTGTTTCCTCAAAAAGCTGAACATAGAAATTCCATTATGACTTAGCTATTCCACTGCTTGGAATATGCCCCAAGAAAATGAGAACTGAGAAACAGAGACTTGTACACCAATGTTCATAGCAGCTTTAATCACCATTACAAGAACATGGAAACAGCTCACATGTCCAACCACAACTGAATGGATTGAGAAGGTATAGTACATTCACACAATGGAATACTATGCGGTACTCAGGAGGAACTATTTTGAAAAATAATACATAACTTTGGAGAGGCTGGAGAGCATTATGCTGAGTTAACTAATGTAGCCTCATAAGAAAAAATACTGCATAAGACCATTATTGCAAAAATAGAAGGATAACTAGTAAAACATGTATGGGCACCTAAGGGGTGGGGAAGGAGTGGGAATGGAGCGGTTAGGTTAAGTAGAGGCAAAACCATAAGGTTGCACAATTTGGTGGATGAAGGGAGGGAGTGAAGGAAATGGGAAGGATCCAGAAGGGACCTAAAAGACAGGGTAAAGATGGGCAAATTCCAAAGGTGATTAATTTTATAAAACATAATGCATGAAACACAATGTGAATAAATAGTGTGAAACACAATATACACAAACTTTGTAAGCATACCAGTGTAAAAAATAAATAAATGCCGCAGAGGAGCTCAAGAGGGTTGTTAGCAGACTAGGGACTCTTGGAGCCCCTACATTACTAGGGACTCAGACCTGTAAGGGAGTGCCTCTCTTGAGTCCCTTCCTCTGTTTGCTACTTCCTTCTCTTCCCTCAGCTTGCTTTCTTTAAAGCCATTTGTTTCTTTTCTCCAAGAGCCTGGATTTATTTGAGGCTTGAGGCAGCAGAGTCCAAGGCTTTTACCTGTCTGGGTGTCTTAATTAAAATTCTCTTTAGAGAATCTGATAGGCTTACCTTAGGAAGCTCTCCATAAACAGGGGCTTGTGAGGTGGAGCCCTGTAATGGGATGGCAGTGAGGTGGAGGGATGCTGGTAGGAAACTGGTAGGTCTCCCAGCCCCAGAGCCCCTGTTTGACAGCTCCAAGACCCTCAAGACACAGATTCAGGCCTCCAGACCCCTGAGGATCTTTCCTGTTGCTTATCAGAATAACTCCTAATCGGGTAGATGCCTCAAAGGTTAATTCCTTCAGTCTCTGTCCCTGATCCTGTCTGAGTGACCTTTTCTTTCTTCCTCCCTACAGCCTGCTGTGAAAGTGCCCCAGTATGTGGGTGTCCGGCTCCTGGTAAAGGGTGCCACCATCAAGAAGCCTGCAACATTATGTCACCGACGGATGGCCTCATCTCCTGACTCAGCAAGGCTCAGGGGAAGGCAAGGGCTCAGGGCCCCTCATTCACGTGTCAGCTTCTAGGAAAACTGGAGCCAGAAGCCTGAGGCATAGTGAGAAGCCAGACTCCACTGCTATCACCTTGCCTCTGGAAAGGGGTAGAAAGGCAAGATAGAAGTGCCACAGCCACAGTTCACCCCAATCTCCACAAGCTGTATGAGCCATTAACCTGTAATTTTTTTACGATGTTCAGCTTAAAATAAAAGCAAAGCCACATGCCAAAATACACTGTTTCAAAAGGTTCTCAGAAACACTCTCCACATCCACATCATTGTGTGTCACCACCCTTCTGTTTCTTCACTGAGGTACAGAACACAGCTACACTGGGTGAGTCAAGACACTCATCCTAAACTGTCCTAGCCTGCTCATTTTAAGAGTCATATCCAACAGAGAGGTGATGGGAGACATTATCCCCACCCTGTTCATTTGCCTTTATGTAATCCCAGTTTTTTAAAATCATCACCTCAGAACTTCATAGCTGAATTTCATAGCTGAACTTCATAGCTGAATTAAGAGCATATACATTAAAGTCAACACTCATTAAAACAAATTGGTTAGCATTTAGAAGTCACAAATTCTGAAGTGAAAACAATAAGCAAATATAGAATTTAGGTAAATAATCAATTCACAAGGCAAATAGCATTGCCACCACATGCTTTAAACTGGTGTATTTTTACTCCTATTCAATATTGTCTTGGAAGTACTTGCTAGAGCAGTACAACAAGAGAAGGAAATAAAAGCATCCAGATTGGTAAAGAAATGGTGAAACTGTCCCTATATGCAGATGATTATGATCGTGTACACAGAAATCTCAACAACAAAAAAAAAAACTGTAAGAGCTAGTAGACCATTTTAGTAGAGTGGCAGCATACAAGATCAATATACAAGTCAATGGAATTCTTCTACAGTTACAAAGAATATACAGATAAGGAAACTAAGAAAACAATGCCCTTTACAATGCTGTTGTTATGTGCCGTAGAGTCACTAATGACCATATGTACAGCAGCTCACTAATGACCATATGTACAGCAGCTCTGAAGCCTGCCCTGTCCTTAGCCAGTCTCACTGATTCCAACACACCTAACCCCCCCCCCATTCCCCCATTTACTATATCAATACATTTCATCCAGGGTCTTCCTCTCCTGTGCCATCCGTCCACACTTCTGAAAATTATATCCTTCTCCAAGAACTGATCCCTCCTGGCCACAAGCCCAAAGTATATGAGACAGAGCTTGAAAATCCTAGCTTCCAAGGAGAAAGTTGTTTTCCTTCTCCAAGGCAGACCTATTTGTTTTCTTGGCAGTCCATGGTATGTTGAAGATTATTCTCCAGGACCATAATTCAAAGGCATCAATTCTTCTGTCGTCCTCAGTCACTGTCCAGCTCTCAGAGGCATAGCAAGTAATTACAAAGACCATAGCCTGGATTAGGCACACCTTAGTCTCTAGACTGACATCATTGCTCCTCGGTACTCTGGAGAGGTCCTTGACAGCAGACTTTCCCAATGCAATTCATCTTTTGACTTCCTGACTGCTTGTGCCAAGACTGTGGAGCAGAGTAAGCTGTTGTTAATAACCTCAATCTCTTCCCCATCTCTCATGATGCTGTCAATTGACCCACTGGTGAGAATCTTTGTTTTCTTGATGTGGTGTTTCAAACCATATTGAAGTCTCCAGTCCTTTACCTTCTGCAGCAAACGCATTAGGTTCTCCTTGGTTTCAGCAAGCAAGGTTGTGTCATCTCCATAACATAGGTGGTTGATGAGTCTTCCTTCAATCCTGTTGCCACATTTCTCCTCATAAAGCTTAGATTCCCAAATGATATGTTCTGCATGTAGATTGACAAGGTATCAAGACAGGATGCATCCATGACACACTCCTTTCCTAATTTTGAACCATGCAATGTTTCCCAGCTCTGTTCTGAGTACTGCTTCCTGGTCCAAGTATAGGTTTTGCATAAGCATGCTCAAGTGTTCTGGAATTCCCATTCTCAAGATTAGCCACAATCTGTTGTGATCCACATAGTCAAATGCCTTTACATAGTCAATGAAACACAGGCATTCCTCTGGTACTCTTTGCTTTCTGCCAAGATCCATCTGACATTAGTGATAATGTCTCTAGTGCCACAACCTCTTCTAAACCCAACTTGTTATTTCTGGTAGTTTTCTGTCAATGTACTGTTCCAGTAGTTTCTGAATAATCTTCAGCATAATTTTGCTAGCATGTGATATTATGATATTGTTTGATAATTTCCACACTCTGTTGGGTCACTTTTTGGGGGAATGGGAATAAATACGGATTCCTTCCAGTCAGTTAGCTAAGTAGTTGTCTTCTAGATTTCTTGGCACAACCTGGTGAGCACGTCCAGGGCAGCATCTCTTTGTTGCAATATGTCAATTGGTATTCCATCAGTTCCTGGGGCTTTATTTTTTTTGCCTTCAGAGCAGCACGCACTTCCTCCTTAATTACCATTGCCTCTTGATCATATGTGTCAGCCTATTCTTTTTGGTGCAGTGACTCTGTATATTCCTTACAACTTCTTTTAATGCTTCCTGGATCATTCACTATTCTGCCTATAGCATCATTAAGCATTGCAACTCATGGCTTGAATTTGTTCTTTAGTTCCTTTAGCGTAAGAAATGCCAAGTGAATTCAGCCCTTTTGATTTTCAGACTCCAGCTCCTTACACATTTCATTATAATACTTTGCCTGTCTTCCAGAGCTGCCCTTTACAATAGCCAACTACAAGCTGAGATACTTGGGAGAGATTCTAACTAAAGACACAAAAGACCTATACAAAGAAAACTACAGAACACTTCTGTGATAAACAATAAAAAAACCTATGTAAATGGTAAAATGTTCCCTGTTAATGGTAGGAAGACTCAACATTGTGAAAATGATAATCCTAACAAAAGCAATCTATATGTTTAACGCAATCCCAGTCCAGATACCAAACTCATTTTTCAAGGAGATTTAAAGAGAAACTGGCAAGTTTATTTAGAAATAAAAGAGACCTTGAATAAGCAAAACACTTCTGGAAAACAACAATGAAGTGAGAAGCATGACACTCCCTGATCTCAAAAACTACTACACAGCTATAATAACGAAAACAGCATGGTCCTGGTACAATGATAGGCACATAGACCAACAGAACAAAATAAAAACTCCAGAAATGGACTTTTCTGTCTATGGTCAACTGATATTCGACAAGGAAACAAACCTATCAAATGAGGAAACAACAACCTCTTCAACAAATGGTGCTGGCATAATTAGACTACTACCTGCAGAAAGCTGAAACAGGATCCACATCTCACATCATACACAAAAAACCAACTCAAAGGATCAGACATCTAGGGGCAAAGCCCCAAATCATAAAGTTCATAGGGACAAACCGGGACCAACCTTAGAAGGCTTACTCCATGGTATAAAAAAGGCTGACAAACCTACCCAGAAATACACAACCAGGAGAGGATAAAATTAATGAATGGGACTTTTTTTTTTATGTGTGTACCGTCAAATCGGATCTGACTGGTATAGGAGGCTATTGTTCGTCCTTCTTCAGCAGAGCATCTGGTGGATTTGAACCACAAACCTCTGGGATTGCAGTGCAGCTTCTTGCCACTAGGCCACCAGAGCTCGCCTGAATGGGACTTTCTAAAGATTAAATCCCTTTGTTCATCTAAAACTTTTACCAACAGAGTGAAAAGAAAACCTACTGACTGGGAAAAAATATTTGGCAATACCATCTCAGACAAGGGTGTTAAAACAAAAGTTTATGGAATACTACAGGCCTCCAGAAGAAAAAGACTGATAACACAATTTAAAAATGGGCAAAAGACATGGAAAGACCTTTCACTGAGGAAGACATTCAGATGGCCAACATGAGGAAATGCTCAAAATCACGGCAATAAGAGATGCAAATCAAAACTACAATGAGAAACTATCTCACCCCAGTAGCAGTGACAAAGCTTAACAGGACAGCAAGTAATAAATGTTGGAGAGGATGTGAAGAGATTAACACTCTCATAAACTGCTGCGGTTTGGCATTTTCTCAAAAAGATGAACATAAAAATTTCTTATGACCCAGCTATTACTCTGCTTAGAATATACCCTAAGAAAATTAGGACTGAGACACAAACAGAGATTTGTACACCAATGTTCACAGCAGCATTATGCACCATCGCAAGAACATGGAACCAGCCCAAATGTCCAACCATTACTGAAAGGATTGAGAAATTGTGGAACATTCACACAATCGAATACTAAGCAGTACTTAGGAGCAATAATTTTGAAAATTACTATATAACTTGGGAAGGACTGGAGCGCATTATGCTGAGTGAACTAACTCAGTCCCATAAGGACAAATACTGTTAATAATTTTGAAAATTACTATATAACTTGGGAAGGACTGGAGCGCATTATGCTGAGTGAACTAACTCAGTCCCATAAGGACAAACACTGTTAAGAGAGTGTTACTGTAGAAATAGAAGGATAACTAGTAAAACATGTATGAGGATCCAAGGGGAGAGGATAGGAGCAGAGGAACAAGGATGGGCAGGGAATAGGTAAATCATAGGGTTGCACAATTTGATGGATGGAGGGAGGGATCGGTAAGGGAAATGGGAAATATCCAGCAGGGATCTGGAAACACAGGGCAATGTTTGGAATAGTTCAGTGTTGATCAATCTTATAAAATATAACTAATCAAAATGATTGTATGAAGTACAGTGTTAATGAAGGATAGTGTGAAACACAATGTATAAAATCTTTGTAAGCATGCCAATATAAAATTTAAGAAATAAAAAAATGGTATATTTTTTGGTGTTTAAAGCTCTTGACCAATTACATTTTTTGAGGAGTTCATATACATTTAAATAAAATACATGTTTTCATAGAGAGTAAGCACTTCAATATGATGGCATCATTTAAAAAAAATACACTGATAATCTTATTAATGAATGGTTCCCACTTCATTTTCCTGAGGTGGTAGAACAAAGCATTGTTTTAAGACTCCACTTTCAAAGTCACAGTGTAGGTCTCTATCCTTTCAAGAGATTAACCTGGAGATGGCCCTCGCCTTCCAGATCATCTTCAGAAGCAGCAGAAGCAGCAGCAGCTTGGTCTCCAGATTCCAGCTCATCCTCCTCATCAACTGAATGAACAAATTCCTGGAGTTTGTTCTTTAGTGATGAAAGTCTTTTCTGATCTTGATCTGCCAAGAGCACAGAGTTCATCTTGTTCTTTTTTGGAATCTGTGATTTTCACCTCTTTTTTTTAAAGTTTTAAAATGGCAATGGTATTGTCAGATGAATCAAGCTGGTCTCCTTCCTCAGTGGTTCCTTCCTCAGACAGAGCTTGCATTTTGTCCTTTAATTCTTTAGTCTCCTGCAATAATGCTGACAATCTACCTCCTACACCAGTGGTTTTTGCAGTGGTTACTGTTTCACTCCCTCCTGTTAGAGGAACTGATTTGACAGATGCTTCTGTTATTTCTAACAGCTCCTTCTTCTCTGCCTGTGGTTTTATGATCTCCACAGATTGTTAAGTTTGATGTTGCCAATTCATTAACTCTCTCAGGATCTCTAGCTGAAGCTGTTGCTGAAGACTGTTCATTTGCGTCAGGTGATGTTTGGAAGATCTCAAACATTCAATCAAAGAGTCCTTTTCAGCCAGCACACTTTGTCAAAGTTCCTGATTATTCTTTGACATCTTCGTGTAACCTACCAATTTCTTCTGGCTAAATGCCATTCATCTGAGCCCCGTTATTATGAGCCTAGATGCAGACTGTCTTTTCCTAGCTGTACTTTAAGATTATATTGATCCTTGTGTTGTTGAATCTGAGTCTTTTCTGTGTGACTGCTGCCTGCAGCTGTTCATTCTGATATTTTTAATGTAAACCTGATGCTTTAATTCTTCAAGTTGCAGGTCTTGCTCTTGAATCATATTTTGTAGTGAGTCATATTACTGTCATGCTGTTCTAATGTTTTCTTCACCTCTTCTTTTTTTATCTTCTTCAATGGCCTTAGTCCTAACACCTTTAAGTTCTTTTACCAGCTTCATAAACTCATTATCAAATACCATGTATTCTGGGCTGGGAAGAAACTAATATTTGTACAGCACTGACCAGTTTATCCTGGGTTGTTTGATCAACCCAGTCTTCACAATAACTTAGACAGGTGCTTTTATGCCCCTTTCCCAGCCTAGGAATTGGGAGGTTTAAGGAAGGTGTCCAAGGTTGCACAGCACAGAAGGGGCTGGGACACAGACCCAGGTCTGTTGAACTCCAGGCCGTGTTTTTCTCAAAGCCTTCGCCTCCACCCTATTCTACCTTGTCCTCCTGTGGACACTTGCAGAGCAGTTGCCTGTCTTGTGCCTGCCACCCCACCCCCAAACCCTGTCCTTACAGCCTCCCTTGCTCCCTCAGCTCCCTACTTTATACCCAGCCTCTACACCAAGGCCCACCTGCCTTCAACTCCTGTATTCCAAACAGGGGCGGGGCCTCTGTTTGCAACAGAAACAGGTGGGTCTGACCACAGGAAAGGCCTTTATAATGCTGCCTGTGGCCAGCGTTTGGCTTCTTCTCTCACCTAAGCCTGAGCTCAGGCCAGCACCCTGGAAAGCACAAGCAGGGTGGGCCTCCACTGTAACTCAGGCTGGCAGGCAAGGCTGAGCACTGAGGTCAGGGCTGGAGGGCACAGTCAGAGGGCACCCTCCAAGCTGACTGGAGCCTCAAGGAAGGGCTTTTTTCCTGTGGAACCACCTTCCCAGCTCCCTTCTTGGACATGCTTCCTTATCATCTCTTCCCTCTCCCCTCCTTTTACACCGAGACTGTTTGCCCTCCACAGACTTCATGGCCCCTGTCCTGGAAGCGCCTTATGGCCCTTGTTGGAGCACACCTTATCACCGACAAGAAGGTCAAAGCCAAAGGCAAGTTCAAGGCCAGACTCTAACAAATCCAAGGCAAAAACATGCCTCAAGGAGGAGGTAGACCACCCAGAATCCCTGCCCTTTATTGGTCAGCAGAGACTGGAAGGCATGAGGATGCAAAGGTAGAAAAGCTCATTTCAGTTACCATTGCCCCATCCTGAACTCAAGGCCAAATTAAAAGGAACAAGTTAAGCTGTCTGGGTTTGACTCTATTTCAATTGGAAGGTGAGAGGATACAGTAGGGTAGGAGCCTGAACTACAAGGCACTATCACTCTAGATGGTTGGAGGCCACAGCAACCCACCACAGAGCCCACAATTCTCAATTGGTAACAGAAAAGGAGCTTCCTATTCAGCTACTCTTCAGGTGAGGATCCTTATGTGATCCTTTGGTGAGGGCCTAGGAGATAAAGCCTCATGATGAGGAAATACTCTGAGAGAAGATACACGACCTGCTCAAGGTCACAGGGCAATAGAATGGAGGCAAGGACTCATGACAGAATAAAACCTAATGAGTACAGAACACTTACAACATGACAAACGGAGGAAGCTCCTCTCCAAGGACAATGGGCTTGTCTCTCTTTCAGGAGTCACCAGACACTTAAAAATGAAACCACAAACAAGTCAACCCCCTATGAAAAAGTTTGGTATTGTGAAGGAATTGTCAAAAAACAAGACTGCAGGAATTGAGAGAATACCAACCGAAATATTTCAACAAAGAGATGCAGCCCTGGAAGTGCTCACCAGGCTGTGCCAAGAAATCTGGAGGACAACTATTTGGCCAACAGACTGGAAGAGGTGCATATTTATTCCCATTCATAAAAATGCGATCCAACAGAGTGTGGAAATTATAAAACCATGTCACTAAGATCACACGCAAGAAAGATCCTGCTGAAGATGACACAATACAGTGACTGGAACAGTACACTGAAAGAGAACTACCAGAAATACAAGCTGGGTTTAGACGAGGCCATGGCACTAGGGACATCATGTCAATGGTAGATCTTGGCTGAAAGCAGATAGTGCCAGAAGAACATCTGTTTCATTGATCTACAAAGGCATTTTGACTGCGTGGATCACAACAAATTGTAGCTAACCTTAAGAATGGGAATCCCCCCCAAAAAAAAAAAATAAAAAAATAAAGAAAGAAATAGAGAGAGAAAGAAGAGAGAGAGAGAGCGAATCCCAGAACATTTGATTGTGCTCATGCGAAAACCTATCCTTGGACCAAGAGGTCGTCGTCAGAGCAAGGAAACACTGCATGGTTAAAAATCAGAAAAGGAGTATGTCAGGGATGTGTCTTGTCTCCATACCTTTTCAATCTGTATGCAGAGCAGATCATCTGAGACTGGACTTTATGAGAAAGAACGTGGCATCAGGATTGGAGGAAGACTTAACAACAACCTATATTATGCAAATGACACAACCTTACTTGCTGAAACTGAGGCGGGCCTGAAACATTTGCTGCAGAGAGCCAAGGACTGTAGTTTGCCTTATGGATTGAAGCTCAACATCAAGAAAACAAAGATTCTCACCACTGGTCCAACTGGCAATACCATGAAAGATGGAGAAGAGATTTAAACTGTCAATAGTTTAAGCTTGCTCAGTTTCAAAATCAACAGTCTTGACATCAACAGTCAGGAAATCAAAAGACAAACTGTATTAGGAAAATCTGCTGTTAGGAACATCTCCAGAATGTGGAAAAGCAATGATGTCAGTCTAGAGACAAAGAAGATCCAGGTCATGGTCTTTGCAATTATTTGTTACGCATCAGAGAGCTGGAAAATGACCAAACATGACAGAAAAACTGACGCCTTTGAGTTGTGGTGATAGAGACGAGTATTGAACATACCATGGACCGCCAAGAGACCAAGTCTGTCCTGGAGAGCGTGAAGACAAGCTGCTCATTGTAGGCTAGCATTATGAAGATCTACCTCACAAACTAGGCCAGGAGCTGATTGTGGAACAGACCACCAACTACTCATATGCAAATTCAAGCTAAAGCTGATGAAAATTAAACCAAATCCAAGGCAACCAAAATATGACTTTTGAGTCTATCCCACCTGAATTTCAAAACCATCTCAGGAACAGATTTGAGGCTTTGAACACTAATGAACGAAGGCCAGATGAGTTGTAGGAGGATATCACGGGTATCATCCAGGAAGAGTGCAAACGGTCACTGCGAAGACAGAAGAGGAAGAAAAGACCAAAATGGATGTCAGAAGAGACTCTGAAAATTGCACTGGAGCGCA